GCTTCGGAACTTCCAGTTTGATTTGGGAGAAGTTTATTTTTCCTTTTAAGTTTCTTTCACCTGAAATTTTATTGTGAAAAATTTTAAACATACAGCAAAATTGAAAGGCTTTTACAGTATACACCTGTATACCCACCACTTAGATCATGTCACTAATGTTTTACGCTTCTTGTTTTATGATATATCTTTCTATCTATTCATTTATTAATCTATTAATCATCCATCCACTATCATCCTTCTATCCGTCTATTAATCACCTTACAATTTGATAAATTTCAAAGTAAATGGCAGACATCAATACAATTTCTTCTGAATACTTTAATATGCAATACCACCTTTTCAGCATTTTAAACAAAACCCATATTCCTTGTCCAGAAATCTGAAATTGAAATCATAAATATTCATTCTTAATAATAATAGTAATAATAATAATAATAATAAAATCTTATATCCTTGGAGTTTATAATATATAACATGATTTTATATGTATTTACTGTATATAGTAACTTTAAAAGGTAGATATTACTCTCAGTGTTTTTCAGTTGAGAAAACTGAAGTTTGGAGAGAGAAAGTGTTTTCCTAAAGTCACTGCTAGTCAATGGGATTTGTGCATGCAGTCTTCAAAAATTAATTGAGCACTTACTATGTGCCGGACACATCCTGGCTACTGGGACATTGCAAGAGAGAATCAGGCAGCAGTTCTGCCCCAGAGTGGCTTCCAGCTTCCTAGGGAAGGCACTCACCTCCATTTTGACAGTTACAGAGCAACATGAGAAGAAGGATGAAGGCAGGTGGGACCCAGGACTTTTCTTTCTACATTTGGAATGCTTTCCCCACTCTTCCCCCTTCAGTTTTCTGAGGATGAGAGCAGGAGGGAAAGCAATTTGAACCCAGAAGGCTAAGGCAGAGAGAGCATGCAACATAACCATCTTCCTGTCCTCACCCTGCCTGCCCTGGTCCAATTGCTTTACCTCCTGGGCCTTTGTGCATGCTGCTTTGGTGGGATATTGGAAAGTTGGGACAGGAAAGGGGGACTCTTAGGAAGTTCAGCACAGAGTCCTGCTTCCCACAACTCCCAGGACACATTTGCTATTGAACACAGAAGTCTGGTGATTACCATGGAGACAACATGGTGCCAGGGATAGAGAGGACATTAGCTCCACGGGAAGGCAGAGTGGAGAGGCCATATTTTTACCTTTCTTTTCTTCCTTCCTTCTCTCCTTCTTTCCTTCCATCCTTCTCCCTTCTCCCTCCCTTCCTCCCTCCCTCCCTCCCTCCCTCCCTTCCTTCCTTCCTTCCTTCTTTCTTTCCTTCTTTCCTTTCATTTTTCCCATTTTTGGTAGGGGTAGACACTTGAGTATATTTCTAGGCTGACGGGCAAGGAAGAAGCAAGATATTCAGGTGTGAGGTGGTGAAACCTGATCCTTGCATCAGCTGGCCTTGAATAGACCGGGGAGTAGGGGAGACAAAAAGGTCGATAATTCAATAAAATTAAGCCAACATTTTCTAGAGGCCAGGAGTTCTTGCTCAGAAGGCCACAGGAAGTGAAGCAGAGGGGAAGGATTGATTTATAATCAGGTACATGACAAAGGGCTCAGCAAGATGGTGTGAGAGAGTGCAGTACAGAGAGAGAAGTGCCCAAGTATACCTGGGAAGGTGATACAAAGATGGAGGATGCTGCAGGCTGCCAGCCTGGGCGCGGAGGGGTGAACAGCTTGGACTGTCTCGGGTGGCTGAGTGGCTGGAGGGTGGGGCATGGAAGGGGTGTGGTAAGAGTTGGAGCAAGATGAATCAGGCGGGGCAGGAGCATAGTATCTTGGCGTAGGAGTCTGGCCTTTTTTCAGATACCTGCAAATCAATAGCCAACAAGCTTTCCTCAACGTGCATTTGGCACAGGAGAACTTTGGAAAGGGCCACTTGGAAGATTGGAAAATATTGGGATGGGATTTGCCTTTGCCTCTTCATATCTGAGTTACTGGATGCTCAGGCAGGAAACCCTTAGGGGGTATGAGACTTTACATTAAACCCTGGAAAGAGCTCTGGATTGGAGGAGGGGACTGGGTTTCTGTACTTACAAGCTATGTCCTTGACTAGTCACCTGAGCTTCTTGAGACAGGTTGTTTTCTCAGTGGCCTCAGAGTTTATAGCCCCTGTCCCAGTGGGTAGCCTGGATTCTGCTCTGTATGGTGTATCTACTTGATAGCTGCTTTTAGGTCAGCCTGACTTCCCAATCTGACCTGGCTTGTTTCAGGCTCTGACAAGTGTGAGGAATTTGGGATATGAAGTACCAAATACGTGCAAGAAAGTATGCTGGGATTGTCCTTGAAACAGGTTGTATGTGATGGTGGCAGGAACAGTGGCCTGGGAGGCAGGAACAGGTGTTCTGTCCCAGGTATATATAAATCATTTAATCTTTTTCTGACTTTGAGGATGGACACTTATGTTCAAGGCCATGGCTATGTTTCTAAAGCACTCACAATTGACGGTATAGTACACTGTAGGGGGACAGAGAAAGTACCGTGGAAGTTCAAGGGAGGGAAGGATTGTATCCAATTTGGAGACTCAAGGAAGGCTGGTTAAAAGAAATGACATTTGAGCTTGCTCTCAAAAGTTGGCTAAGGGTTGGGCTTGACGAGGCATAACAACCATTTGTAAAAGGTTAACTGTGTGCCAGGCACTCTACTCAATATATAAACATCATCTCTTATGGGCCTCACAGAGCTCTTTGGGGTAAATATATTTATTATGTAGATGAGGAAATGAATTAACTTTCTCAAGGTCACAGTGAGTTACTGACTGTAACAGTTAGCTGTTGCAGTGTAACAATTCAGTGGCTTAAAACAATATCCATTTCTTTTATTTATGAGTCTGTGGGTTAGGTAGGGGCCGCCTGGTCTCAGATGGTCCTAAATGGGGCAACTAGACTCTCTTCCACATGGGGTATCATTGTTCAGCAGTCCAGCCCAGACTTGTTCTCATGGAAGAGGCAGGGGTTTGCAAGAGGAAGTGTGCAAGGCCTTTTGCAGCCTACGCTCACAGTGGCACCATTACATCGTCCACATTCTGTGGGCAAAGCAAGTAACAAGACCAGCCTAGTTTCAAAGGCAGGGGAAGTAGACTCTACTTCTTGATGAGAGAAGCTGCAGAGTCACATTGCAGAGGGCATGGAGACAAGAAGTGGAGACTTGGGCCATTTTTACTCCCTATTACAGTAGCAGAGCAGGATTGGATCTCTGCTCTAGCTGGCTCCAAGCTGTGTTCTTTCCATGAGGCTTCACTTCCAGGGAAGATAAAAAATTTGTAGGACAGAAATGAGCAAAGGAAAGGGAGCAAAAAAGCTCAGGACATGTTTGGAAAACACTAGATGTTTCATCCTGGATGAGGTGTGGGGTGTGTAAAGGGGAACAGCAGAGAGTAAGGCAGTCAGGGTTGATCTGGTCAGTCTTTGGAGACCTTGAATACAAAAGTAAGCTGCGTGGACTTTATCATGCCTGTTAGAAGCCATGGAAGGATTTTTTTTTTTTTTTTTAATTTAGACTATAATGATATAACTCTGTACAGTAAAATTCACTTTTAAGGAATACATATCTATAAGTTTTGACAAATGTGTATGATTCTATAGTCACAAAAACAAACAATTACCACCCCCCAAAAAAGGTTTCCTTGTGCCACTTGTAGTCAATTTTCTCCCCCTCCCCCAGTCCTTGGCAACTACTAATATGATACCATTTCTATAGTTTTGCTTTTTCCAGAATGTCATATAAATGGAATCATGCCATATATAGAATTTTGTGTCTTTTCTTTCATTTTACATAACGCTCCTGAGATTCGTGTATGTCATTGCAGGTTATCAGTAGCTCATTCCTTTTTAATGCTGAGTTGTATTTCGTTGAATGGATGTATCACAATTTGTTTATTTCCAAGACGAGGGACATTTGGGTGATTTCTAGTTTGGGCAATTTTAAATAAAGTTGCTATAAACAGTAATATGTGAATCTTTGTTTAAACATATATTTTCATTTCTCTTTAGTAAATACTTAGAGTAGGATTTCTAGGTCAAAGTGTATATATAACTGCCAACCTATTATCTGAAATGTCTGTATGAGTTTGTATTCTTCCTAGTAATGTATGTGTGGTCTAATAGCTTCATCTCCTTGTTAGCACCAGTATTGTCAGTTTTTTTTTTCTTTCTAATTTTAGCCATCCTAACAGTTGTAGTTCCTGATGGTTTGAATTGGCATTTCTCCAGTGACAGGATGTTGGGCATCTTTTCATGTTTCCATATCTCTTCTTTTCACATTAAAAAAAATGGGTTGCTTTCTTCTATTAAGTTTTAAGGGTTGCTTTCTTCTAAGTTTTAAGAGTTCTTTATATATCCTAGGCATACATTTTTTTTATCAGATAATTGTTTTGAAAATATTTTCTCCCAGATGCTCAGAAGGGTTTTAATAGGAAGTAACTCTTTGAGTTTTAAAGGTGTGCTCTGTGGCATTGTGTGGTGGGGGAGTGGATGGGGAGGGAGAGACAAGGAGGCTGTCTTAATAGTCAGGTGAGAGCTGAGGCTCTGAGCCAGGCCAGGGGCAGTGGTATAGGGAGGAGCAAAGAGACAGAGGCATGGGGCCCGTTGAATGGTAGTAAACACCTCTTTTACCCTGTGAGTCCACCCTCCCTCCCACCTTCCTTCTTTTGACAGATATTTATAGAACACCTACTAAGCATGATTGGGCTAGATGATCTTTCAGGTGCTAGGAAGTTCTTACAAGCCAACTTGGGCTCTGATGAGCTGAACTAGGTGTAAAGCAGAGGGATCCCCTCCTTAAAACCAGGCTGTTCTGATAGAAAAGCTCTGGAGGTCATCAATTTTGGCCTCTCACTCAATGTAGGATCTCCTGGGAAGCACAGCCAACAGGTGCCTGTTCATTTCCTGTGGGTGCCCCTCCTGGGATGGGGGGCTTACTCTGTCCAAGGGACCACTTTCATTTTCTCTTTCTCTTTTTAAGGGAAAGGATCACACCTTTTACTAAGGGGAAGTGCCCTCCAACAGTGGATTACAATTCAGATCCTACTCCTTAAAGCCACACATGGACAGCCCGCGGTGACCAGAAGGCCCAAAGGACTGAAGATGGATCTGGGGATGGGAGGGTGATAGTGGGAATGGGGGGGTCTTGGAGAAAGGACATATGGGAATGCCTGGGAGAGGGGGAGATGTAGTGATGTGATGGAACCACTTTTCTGGAGACATCTACCTGGAGGTCACGGTGCCTGCTGGGACGGCTAGGATGAGAGATCTTTTGTTATGAGATCAATTATCCTGAGAATTCAAATCAGCCAGTGACGCGAACATGGGAGCCAGACAGTGGATGAACTAAAAAGGTGGAACGCGATTGACACTTTTGGAACCCCTTTCTATAAAGCCAAGGTGCTTAACTCCCTGTTCATTAAAATCCAAAGAGGCGGGAGAGTGTGGCATATGTCATAAGGCAGCTCTAGGTCCCCTCCAGGAGTACTTCATCTCCACCCCAGGATGCTTCTGGAAGCTCAGCAGGGCCTCCTGCTATGAGGAGGCTGCTGACCTCCAGGCAATGTGCAGCCATTGGGAACAATTAGTTTCATCCCTGGAGTCAGGCCTCATGGGCACACCAGTGTAGCATAAAGTTTTGTCTGTAGGCTTTGGCCACAGTGTTCTGAGCTGCTTCCCATACTGTTGTTTGTCAGTGAGACTGAAGAGGATGGCAGAAGCATATTGTCCCTAGAGAAAAGGAGACCGAGGCACCACAGCCTCAGCCAAAAAACTCACATAAAGAAAAAGAAAAATACTTTGAATACTTCTTCAGAGCTTGAGTGCCTTACAGAAAGCAGTACTTTCTCACTCAGGTCAAAATAACTATTTTGGAAGAAGTAAAACTGTCTTTATTCATAAACATGTCATCTATGTAAAAAATCATACTGAATCCTCAAAAAAGGAACGATGAGCCAAAATAGATACAAACTAGAGCTAATAAGTCAGTTTAGCAAGTTCAGGAAATAAGATCAATATACCAAAATCAACTGTTTCTATATATTAGCAATAAAAAATCAAAAATTGAAAATGTCATTTATCATAGCATCAAAACTATCAAATACCTACGTATAAATCTGACAAAAGATGTACAAGATCTGTACACTGAATTCAGCTAAAATACTGCTGAGAGAAATTAAAGAATACCTAAATGAGGGAGAGATATACCATGTTCATGAATCAAAGACTCAATGTTTTTAAGATGTTAGTCCCTCCTCCCTCATATCAAACTATGAATTTAAAACAATACAAATCAAAATCCCAGTGATTTTTTTAAGTTGACAAGCTGATCTAACACTTATATGGAAATATAAAAGACATAAAATAGCTAAAACAAATTGGAAAAAGAGGAACAAAGCTGGAGAACATTACTTCATCTCACAGTGTGAAATTGGTGTCATGATAGACAAATAGATTAAAGGAACAGAACATAGAACCCAGAGACAGACACGCTTAGGGGCAACGGATTTTCAACGAAGGTGGAAAGACAATCCAAAGGGAAAATAGTCTTTTCAACAAATGGTGCTGGAACTATTGGATAACAACATGCCAAAAAAAAAACAAAAAAAAAAAAAAACAAAAAAAAACTATGACCAGACTTGAATCATATACAAAAATTAACTCAAAATAGATCATAGACCTAAATGTAAAATCTAAACTATAAAACTTCTAGAAGAAAACATAAGAGAAAATATTTGTGCTTTGTGTTAGGCGAATATTTCTTAGATATTAATTTGACTGCTTATTCGAATGTTTAACTATTTGAACAATTTGTTAAATAAGATTCAATTAAAATAAAACTTTTGTTATTTTAAAGACTATGAGAATGAAAAGACTAGCCACAGACAAGAAAATATTTGCAAAACATATATCTTATAAAGGACTTATATCAGACTTCATATATTAGTCATGGAAATGCAAATTAAAACCATAATGAGATACCACTGCCCACCTATTAAGACAGTTAAAAAGAATGACCATACCTAGTGTTGGTGAAAATGTAGAACAACTGAAACTCATACACCTTAGGTGGAAATATAAAATAGTACGACCCCTTTGGAAAAGTCTGGCAAGTTAAAAAGTTAACCATACACCTATCATATGATCCAGCCATTCCTCTCCTGAGTATTTACCCAAGAAAAGAAAGCGTGTCTACACAAAGACTGTGCAGAAATGTTCCTAGCCACTTTGTCATAGCTCCAAACTGGAAAAAACCCAAATGTCCATCAACAAGTGAATGAATAAACAAATGCAGTTTATCCATACATATGTCAAGACAAATCAAATTGTACACTTAACATGTGCTGTTTATATGTTAATTATACCTCAACAATTGTTACCGTTTAAAAGAAACTAAGGAGAAATAACAATGCGATGTAGGATCTTAGGATTCTGAAAAGAAAAATGAACATTAGTGTTAAAATTGGTGTAATTTAAATAAAGGCTGTGGTTATTTAATATTATGCCAGTGTTAATAACTTAGTTTTGATCATTTTACTATGGTTTTGTAGAAGAGAAGTTGAGTGAAGGGGCTATGAGAAATCTGTATTATCATTGCAACTTTTCTGTAAGTCTAAAATTAATTAAAAATAAAAAGTTAAAAAATATCTGCAATAACTTTTTAAAAAGATGCTTTACCTTATATAAAAATAAAAAGTGCATTTTTCAAATATATTAGCCATCATATTTTCGACAGTCTGTTGCCATAGAGAAAGTCAGCAAATTTGGAGTGCTTATCTTATTGTAAGAGAAACCTGCATAGTAACTTCAGGCAGTTCTTTTACTTTGCCATGAGATACCAATGACCTTCTCTGTTACAAAAGCCATGTACGCTGAAAAGGAACAGCCTACTATAATGGAGTGAAAGGTTCTCTGGCTGCCACGGAAAGCTCTGTTTCACTGTTTCTATGTCTGGAACTACTGTCTTGGCTGTCTTTAGCTAAGGCTCTTTGAGCACTTTGGTATTGTAAGACTAGATGAATCTGCACCCTTGTTTGACTCAACAGTTTCAGTGTGGCCTTCAGGCAAATCGACAGATCTTTCTTGAGCTTTACTTTCCTTTTTATAAAACAGATAAAAACTGACCTGCTTTTGTAACAAGATTGTGAGGATTAAATAAGATATTGTACGTTGTGTGCAATTCAAATGTAAGGTGGAACTGAAGACCTAAACTATAAAATCTGTTTGAAAGATTTCTCCTTTAAGGAGAATTCACCAAATCCTGATTTGTGAAATTGAACAATTGGAAAAAGAATTTCCTAAAGGGTTCCTTTCAAATAACTTTAGGATGGGAAGCCCACGTCACACATTTTAGGAAAATGTCCATTATGTGTATCTATGTATTTGCATAAAACTTTCTTACACTAAACTCAACTCTTCTAAATGCTCATTGGAGCCTGACAACCCTCTAACAATTAGGGTGAACTAAATTGCTCTAACAAATAGTCCCGAACATGTAGTTACTCAACTACAATAAAAGTTGTATTTCTTGCACCCATAACCAAAGCAGGTTTTAGGTTTGTAGGCAGTTCTCCATACAGTGACTCAGGGATCCATGCTCCTTACAACTTGTGACTTGGTCACAGCCTATGGCCTGGTTGTCATCTGCACCTAGCTAATATAAGGAGAGGCAGGAGAACCTCACATAGGCTTTCACCACTTCTGCTCACATTCTACTAAAGAATTCTGACACAAGGACACACTTACCTGCAAGAGAGGATGGAAAATGTAGTCCAGCAATTTGCTCAAAGAAGGGAGGGATAGATTTTAGTGGATAGCTAGTGGTCTCCATCAGTTTGTAGATTAGGTCACAATCAGGTGACAAACTCAATACTGTAGGCCTAGAGGCCGTGACGACCATGTCTGGTGCCTTAAGAAGCCCAGCCTCGACCCTGATCTGAACCACCACTGCCTCTCACCTGGACTCTCCTCGCTGGTCTGTCTTCCACCCTTTCCCCTGCAGTCTATTCTCCACCCTGCAGATAGGGGACCCTATTAACACCTGTACCAAATCATTGCGACAATGCTAAAGATTCAAACCTGGGGGAGAAAATTACCCATGATCCCATCGCCTTCATAAACTTGTCATTTCCCCCATATTGTCTCTCAGTCTTTGTTCTTGGGTGCACAGATCTGAGGGAAATTGACCCAATGAGGGGCATGGTTTGCACCTGATCCAGGTCTGACTCCACATTGTGGTTCCCAGAGCAAGACACAACAAAGGCTACTTTCCAGGTCACACGTTTATTTTTACAGAAGCGGTGGCCATACAGCCACAGGGACATGAAGTGTTCTAGACAGTAGACACAGTGCCTGTAGCTGCAAGAGCCTGCTAGGGGAGACTCATGCTTTTCTCCTTGGTCCCCATGATCCAGGGAGAAAAATCAAAACCACACAACATCCCCATTCCCACATGCCCTCCCTTCATTTTTAGTAATATCCAATTAAATTTATCCATTCTTCCAGCCAAAGAAATAGGCTATAATTGATTTTACAAAAAACCTTCATGCAGCCAAGAAACTCAGGGCTCTGGAGGAGAGAGGCCTATTCTTTTACTTTCCAAACACACTGTTCCCCTGTGCAAAGTTCAACTCCATCTGAAACCACTGCACAGACGGACAGTGACAGGACTGAATACAAGTAAAAGCTGGTTACTCGACTCACCATGCTGGGAAGGCTGCCCCCTTCTGGGCAAGATATGACTGAAGCAAAACATTAACCTGAAGTGCAATGTCAAGACCTCCCCATCCAAGCCCCAGGTTCTGGGTGTCTGTGAAGAACAGGATTTGGTTTGTAGGACTAAGGACAACAGAGGCGGCTGGCATCTCTGGCTCTACTCCCAATGGCTTAGAAACAGAGGTCCCACTGGTGAAAAGATGGAGCCTTATCTGTTGGGTTAATCTGCTTAGGTTGACCATTCCTCTACAGCAAGTAGGATCATCAGTTTAACCCCAAACAGGAAGCAGATAGGCCCACTGAGAGCTAATGCCAGAATTCACATGCTTTGCATACAAGCAAAAGAATGGTTGTTTTTTTTTTCCTATGCCCTCTCCAGAGGCCAAATGGATAAGGGGGTTCCTATGTCTTCTAAATGCCATGACTGTCCAGTACTTGGGCTGAAGGACCTTAAATGACAGACCACTCCCAGGTGTCCACTTGGATCATTTGTTTTCCTCTGACTTTCCACACAAATGAGGTTTTCCATGGGTTTTGCAACCACAAGGTCTAAGACAGCCATGAATTTCCACACTAGAAGGGTCCCAGGGAGGTCTTGTCTGTACTGATGCGATAGATGAGCAAAAACTACAGTTTAGAGGAAAAAATGACTCGTCCACAGTTGCACAGCTCATTGAGCAAGGGCTGAAACCCAGGTCTCTGACTCCTAGTGCAGTGCACGTGCTCTCTCTCAGAATGTCACTGCCTGGCACAGCTCACTTCATTCCAGCTTCCCTTATGTGACACAATTCCTTCTCAGACTCTCGGTTTTTAGCCGAGGCTGCACAGTTCTTAAGATGGGAGTTGCATAAATGGCCAACTTTTAGTAAGTGGAGAAGGACCTCGGGGAGTTCCTTTCCCTCTGGAATGGAAATGGAGCTAACTTTTCTCTGAGCTTAGGATTTGTAAGGCACTGAAATCAACTACGGCTGGGGGTAGGGGAGAAAAAAAAGAGAGGATGAGTGGTTAGAGATATCAAGCAGATGCTCTATTCTTTCAGCCCCACAGTGAGAATCCTCACGAAACCTAACAATGGTGGGCTCCATTTTCCTGCTTGGTGTGGTCCACCCCACCCCCCATTCCACGGGGCAGCATGGACGCATCCCCACCAGGACTAAGCGGGTTCTGGGGACAAGAGGCACGGAGGGTTGGAGAGCCAAGAATAAGCCCAGGTCCTCTGTATACAATTCAGAGCAGAAACCATTCACGCCACACCGGCGGGTATCCCAGGTCTAGGCTGGGACAGGATTCAACCCTGAAATGTTCCCAGGGACATGGTCCTCTTGGAGTAGACTGAGTGATGGCTGGGGTGGGCCCACGAGCCTGAGCATGAAGGAGGGAGAGGCAGAACATCACCAAGGATGGCAGAGAAAACTTTGGGATAGGACCTTTGGCACAGCACATCTTCGGACGCCTGCCCATTTGTTGCCCTCCTGAGACCCCAGGGATGGAGAGGAACCTTCCTTCTTTCTGCCCATGAGGATAAATACTGGCCGACTGAAGCAATGGCAGTGCCGCTCCAGGGCAACCCTTCATTATTCTAGCCAAACCTGTGCCTAGGTGACCTAACGTGGAGCCTTTGGGACTCAACCACTGAAACCAAAGCACTTCAGTCAGCTGTGATGCAGAATAGGAAGCAGTAACAGCTAGCAAAGCCTTCGGGCAGATATTGTTAACCCCTGGCAACAGATGAAGAGCTGGGCTCAGAGGCTGAGTGACTCACCCAAAGTCACACAGCTAATGAGTGGCTGTACTGAGAACTGGACTCAGATACATCTGACTTCAAATCCCATGTCCTTCCCACTCCACTAGGTAGCCCCTGGAGGCTGGGAACAGCCCATCAGGATTGTCTGGGTGGGATTTCTGGAGGGGTTCTTTCCGAAAGTAGGGATCTGGGAGAGCAGCCAAGCGTAAGTGAAGGGAAGATGCCTCCTGACCTTGGGGACAGGGTCCATCCACACATCTGTCTCTTTGTGGGTGGGCTCTGACTCAGTGCCTGGCAGCCTTGCAGATCTTGTCGTATACCTCAGGAAAGGCATCATGGCAATTGAGCTGATCCCGCAGCTTGTGGTACAGCGAGCCGTCAAACATCTCCCAGAACTCCTCGCGGTTCATGTAGCAGTCAGCATACAGCATCTGGAACCTGCAGAGCAGAGATAGGGTACGGAAGTGGGGAAGTGATGTTAGTGGGACACAGCACATTCTGCAGTGCAGAAATCACTTCTGGAGGATTTTCTTGTCAAATTCCCCTAACGATCTGGTGGTGGAAGGTGATGCAGGAATTCTTATCCCCAATTTGCTGATGGGAAATCGAGGTTCAGGGCATTAAGTGACTTGGCAGTAGAGGCAGTCAGGATTAGAACTAGGACTGTGGCTTCTCCCTGTGCTTGGTGCACTGCCTCCCTGGCAGGGCCACTGGCTGCTTTCTTTTCATTTTTTTTTCTCCTGATGCTTAATAAACTGCACATATTGAAAGTACACAACTTACTAAGTTTGACATATGTATACAACCTAGAAACCATCATCTCAGTCTAGATAATGACCACAATGACCCTCCAAACTTTCCCTTATGCCCCTGTGTTATCGCCCTCCACCAGCCCAGGTGGATTTACTTTCTGTCACCAGGGATTTTGGAATTTTATATACATGGAAACATCGCTATTCTTTTTTCCTGGCTTCTTTCAATCAGCATAATTATTTTGAGATTTGTTCACATTATGTAGGTCAATAGTTTGTTCCAGGCCATTTTCTGAGCACTGCTCGGTCCTGGGACCCTGTATGGCTTTCACAATCATAAATTCCTTCTTCCTTAGCTTTGGTCTTCCAACCTGGAGTGGCATCCCCCAGAACATATGGAAAACCACCCCATTATCTTCCCCGGGGGGAGGAGTGGGGCAGTTCTCGTGTTCCCAGCTCAAGCAGCTAGGGGGTGGGGGGATACAGGTGTGCTGACCAGAGGAAGGGGATGCAGAGAGAAGAGGGGCAGGAGCCCTGCAAGCCCACCTCCTTAACTTCCACTAGGTACTTTCCAAAGCAGAGGCTGCCAAGCGACAAACTCCAAAGCGAACAGATAGTCTGACTCAGAACCTGGCCACCTTGGACCTTCCCTGAACCGCCCTGCAGCCATCCCTTAGAGCTGGAGGCCAGAGGGATCAGGCCACATTTGGAGCCACTCACCCATGAACACTTCGGACGAATTTCTCCAACTGCCGCATGCAGGACCTGGCTTCGAAGTGCTTCACGCGTGGCTCCCCGTAAGCTCCGATGTCCACGTAGAGCTCTGTCTCGTCTCCCTTAGGGTGCACCAGGCCAGGCTGGCTGGGCAAGATGAATGGGCACAGCCAGATAGGGTAGACCTGGGTGGACCAGGCAGGGAGTATTGGTGCTTTTTCTCCAACAGGTGAAAGGCTCATGGCTGGCCCACCCCACATCTACCCAAAGGGAGGATTTTCGGCACTCTCCAGGGCCCCATCTTCTGGCTGCTCACAGCTTCACCCCCAACTCCACACTAGAGGATGCAATCTGAGAAGTTCATGGAAATGCTCATCACAGGGCCCTATGTCTGCTCTCCCGTCAGGGCCTTCGCTGAGCGGGCTCATTTTGCAGTTGGGAAAATAGAGGCCCCCCAACTGCCCAAAGTCAGTCACAGGGTTCAGGGGAGAAGACCGTGGATTCCACGGGACGGCTGTTGGCCTGGCCTGCCCGGCCCCGCCCCAACTCACGTGGATGTCGTTGTGGAAGGTGTGCAGGGCCGGTATCATGCACTTCATGGGCACCAGCATGTCTTGTACCACGTGGTGCTGCTCATACAGTTTGCGCAAGGTCTCGCCCTGGGTCAGCTTCAGCAGGGAGATCTTGGGAGGCACCATCCAGCCAAAGAGGTAGCGGAAGATGGGGCTGTTGCCAAAGGGAATGATGTCCTGAAAGACGAAGGTTGGGGATGCAGAGAAGGAACCAAGGATGGAGCGTCTCCGTGTGCCAGCGGCCAGGCTCTCAGTCAGTGCTTGTTATGTATGACAGGGTCCACCCCAAATGGAGGGGCGTGATGGTCCCCAGGATTTACCCAGTTGGATCCCAGCTGGAGTCTTGGCTTTGGCATTTACCAGCTGTGATGAGCTTGGGTTAGTTACTTAGCCTCTCTGAGCTCGGTTTCCTTATCTGTAAAATGGGACTTGTGAGAATAGTGACATACCAAATGGAAGGCACTCAGCCCAGTGCCTGGAGCAAAATAATAAGGTATCTATAATTGTTGTTCTAGCTGTTGAGGTCAGAGTGGCTGGCGCACGGCAGGCAACTGCAAATGTCTGAGAAATAAATGCTGTTGAATGAGAAGCATAAACAATCCTCTTTGGGTCACACAGCCAGGGACAGCTCTCACTGGGGTGGGCAAGGTCTGGCTCAGGTTCAACTATGAGCCCACTGGTTTACAGCATCTCCTGGGAGGCCTTCTCTGACCCCCAACCTCCTCTTTAAACTGTTACTGCTCTCCATCCCTCCACGTACAACAGCAAATTCTTGCTCACCTTTCAAGGCCAAGCTTGATGGCTACCTCCAACCCTAGACAGAACTAGCCACTTCCTCTTCGTGTCCCTGTGGCCCTCACAGTGCCACCCCACCTGCCTACTCCAACTTCATCTCCCCAAACCGCCCCCTGAGTAGAGGCTGTTCTTCCTCCTTCAAATCATGAGGGAGAGCTGCCTCACTCAGCACTGCTGCTTTCCAAGACGTCCTCTGCTCCCCGCCAGCTCTGCTATGGCTCCCAACAGCAAGGACCATAGCATGGCCCCCTGCTCAGTCTTCCTCCCTGCTCCAAGTCTGCTGTCTTCCTGAGGGTCACCAGTGTCCACTGGTAACCCACTCCCACAGCTCCTTGACACCAAAGATGTTCCTTCATTAGATAATTATGAGGTGCCCATGAGGTCAGGTGCTAGGTTCTATGCTAGGTGCTGGGGATACCAAGATAACTGAGACTTGGTCCCTGTCCTCAAGTGTGGAAGAGACGTGGCCACAAGACTATGGTGTAAGAAAAGCTGGGACCAAGAGATGCAGAGGCAGTTCACAAAAGGGTCCACATTAGACTAGGGGCCAGTGGAGGCTCCCAAAGAAGCCACCATGCTGACCTTTGGGGTTGAGTGACTCTTCCCCTCCACTCTCTTGGAATCACCTCTCTGATCACCAGTCCACTCCCATAAGGGAGAGATCTGTCTGCTTTCTTCTCCGTTAGATTCCAGCACCTACACCAATGCCTGGCATATAAGAGTACAATACATGCAAAGGCTTTTTTTTTTTTGTCTCCTTGGCTTTTTTGGAAAAGCGACATATGCCCATAGCAGAAATTCCAACAGTCCAAAGGTTAAGCCTTCTCTCAAGTCCCTGACCTTTCTTTCCACTCCCCAAAGGCAACCACTGTTAGGAACTGAGTACCTTCTAGAGGCATTTGATGCCGACAAGCATATGGGCTGTACAAAAAGCAACTCACAGATAGGGGCATCGACAGCCTCCTGCTTATCACTGTATCCTGTGCATCAGCGCCCACAGTGCTACCCATTCTTTGTCGTGGATGCCTAACACTGTGCTGCAGGGACACTGTGCTAACACTGTCTATGGCTGCTTTCAGGCTATGAGGGCAGAGTTGCTCCTAGAGAGACCTCATGGTCCATGGAGCCTAAACTACTACCTGGCCCTTTACAGAGAATGTTTGTTGACCTCTGCTCTACTGTATGGATGTAGCCTAATTTACTTAATCAGTTCTATACTAATTAATGGGTATTTCAATTATTTCTTGACTACTCCAATGAATATCCTTTGTGCATGCATCTTTGCGCATTTACATGTACATTTATCTGTAAGATGAATTCCTAGAAGTGGAAAATTCTGGTTTAGACAGTGTGTGCAATTTTAATGGATACTATTTTAAGAGCTTGCACCACTTTATACTCTCCCAGACAACGCAGGAGACTGTTGTTTCCCCACACTCTGGCCAGCGTGGTGTGTTATCAAACTTTCGCATCTCTGTCATTCTGATAGGTGGAAAATGAGGCTCCTGTAGTTTTGTTTCACCTGTCTTGAATTCTGAGTGAGACCACATCACTTTTCTTATGTTTAAAATCCATTTACATTTTTTCCCCCTAAAATAGTCCATCGTTAGCCTAAAGTTATCAGCTGGAACCACTCCTTTTCCAATGTCTCAACTTCACAAAGTTCGGGTGCCCTGCCCTTCTCCTTTCCCTCCTCTGTCTACCCCATTATTCACCCTTCTGCCTTGGAATGATCCTGGGCCCTATGTCCCTGGCTTCACTCCTGGTCCTGTCCTGCCAGCATGCTAAGGTCAGTCATCACAGCCTCTCCCATTCTCGGACCCCTGCTCTCCAGCTGCCCTTGGCCTTTATCTGTGTCCAGCTTGTTACTGGCTTTCTCTGCTCTGCTGGGATGCAGGACCCCACTAAGGGTTCAACAGGCCCAGCCTGATCCAGAACCCCAAACCCCAAAGGCAGGCCCTGTGATAGCGGCATTGTAACAATCAAGGACCTATCTATCCTTCCATATTGATGTTATTGCGCTGAATTAGTCAACCATTTAAACTGCTAAAAATGAGGACTTCGAAAAGAAAGGAAAGACAGGGCTGCCCAGAGTCCCTTTTCTTTTCAGTCCTTCCTTATTCATCAGTAGCCAAGGCGAAGTGTTGGTAGAATGTGAATTTATCAAGAAGGGAAATAAAAGCATTTGAGTTAGTTTTGTGCAGCACTTTCACTGGTTCTTTAAGAATGACATACATATGCATGAAGAGTTAAATGCTCTTATATTACATTTAAAAGATAAATAGTAAAACTCATGCTAATAACTCAAATTTTTAATATTTCTTTACTCAGAATAACATTAAATAGCAAATATTTATGATAAGAGACGGACCAAGGAAGAGAGCAAAAAGCTTCGTAATTCAGTATCTTTGATGGCATGTTTCCCCCTGCTTTTTGCACTGGGCCCTGAAGATTGTGTAGCTAGCTCTAACCTCAAATATTGCTGATTGACAGAGCTGGGTGAGGAAGAGACTGGACCAGCCAAGTGTGGCCCAGATGCGACAGGAATGAAGTGATCACCTAGAATGCTGTTGATCATGACCATACTGATATGTGTGTCCTCAGTCCTGCCCTGAAGTCCTGACACATAGAGACAGCTGCCCACTTGACGTCCTAAACAGATATCTGAAAGGCATCTCAAACTGACAAGCCCTAAACCAAACTTCTGATTTCCCTTCCCAGGCCTTTCCCCCATGTTGCCCACAGCAGTCAATGGCACATCTGGTCACCAGTTGCTTGGGGCCCTAACCTTGGAATCACACCCATGGCCGATCTGTTCAGAGGATTGGTTGGTTCTGCTTTCACACTATCTCCCAGATAAGATACTTTTTCCCTCCTCTACTGCTACCACCCTAAACTCAGATATCTTCTTTCTTCTATTTTTCATCTAGCTGTCAAAGTTATTCATTTAAACCAGAAATCAGGTCATGTCACATCACTTTTCTGTGCAAAGCCCTCTTTCAATTTCCTATCATACTTAGAGTAAAATATAAAGTCCTTCCTTGACTTACAAGGACCCATTTGATTCAGTCTCTGACTGCTATGTGACCTTATTCCTCACCACGGATCTAGCTCAGGGGCCTTCTTGCTGTTTTTCCACTACGACAACTGGTTAACTATATGCAAAGGAGTGGCGTCAGACCCCTATCTCACATCATGTAAAAAACTTAACTCAAAATAAATCAACAACCTAAATATAAGAGCTAAAATCATAAAGCTCTTAGAAGAAAACATAGGGCTAAATCTCCATAACCCTGGGTTTAGTAAGGGATTCTTAGATATGACACTAAAAGCATGAGTAACAAAAAATACATATACTGAACTTCATCAAAACTAAAAATTTTTGTGCATCAAAAAAAAAGCGAAAAGACAACCTACAGGATGGGAGCAAATATCTGTAAGTCATTTATCTCATAAGGGTCTAGTGTTCAGAACATATAAACTCTTACAACTCAACAATTAAAAATGAGCAAAGGAGCTGAATAGACACTTCTCCCAAAAATATGCAAATGGCTAATAAGCATGCGAAAGGATGCTTAACATCATTAGTCATTAGGAAAATGCAAATCAAAATCACAATGAGATTCCATCTCATACCCACTAGGATGGCTATAATCAAAAACCAGAGAACAAGTGTTGGTGAGAATGTAGAGAAAATGGAACACTGCTGTTAGAAGTGTAAAATGGCTCAGCCACTGTGGAGAAAAGGTGAGTGGTTCCTCAATAAATTAGACACAGAGTTATCTAATGACCCAGCAATTCCACTCATGAGCATATACCCAAAAGAACTGAAAACTAGTACTCAAATACTTGTATGTGAATGTACAGCAGCATAATTCACAATGCCAATCGGTGGAAACAATCCAGAATATCCAACCACAGGTGAATAGATAAACAAAATGTGTCATATCCATACAATGGAGTGTTATTCAGCAATAAAAGGAAATGAGTGCTGATACATGCTACAACATAGATGAATGCTGAAAGCATACTTAGTGAAAGAGGCCAGACGCAAATGATTCCATTTATATGAACTACCTAAAGTAGATAAATCCGTAGAGACAGAACAGATTGATGGTTGCCAGGCTGGGGGAAGGGGGAATGGGGAGCAACTGCTAATGGGCACAGTATTTCCTTCTGGGGTGATGAAAACGTTTTGGAACTAGATCGAGGTGATGGTTGCACAATATTATGCATGTACTAAATGCCACGGAATCGTATACTTTAAAATGGTTAAATTTATGCTACTGCACTTCAATTCAAAGAGGAAAAAAAAAAATCCATGCAGCCCATTTGAGGACCTGTGCTCTGGCACCTCCCTCACCTAGAACACTCTCCCCTGGACTTCTTCATGGCTTGTCCTCTCTATGTTCAGGTCCCTGCTCATAAGTTATCTCCTGAGAGGCCTTCCCTGATGCCCTTCAAAATGTCACTGTTCCCCATCCCTCCATGTACAACAGCAAATTCTTGCTCATCTGTCAAGGCCAAGCTTGATGGCTACCTCCAACCCTAGACAGGACCAGATTAGCCATTTCCTTTTCCTGTTCTTGTGGCCCTTTACAGGACTAGAGTCTGTCTGCTTGGCTGGGCTACAGTTCCTCAAGGACGGAACAGGTCAGTGTTCCCCAAATTACCTGGCCCAGCACTCCACTCTCTGTTCACTGGGAGCCTGCCGCTTTAAGTGAAGAAGGTCCAATCTCAGAGGAAGCAACTGTGTTACTATGTAAGAGTAACAGTTCCCTAGGACAAAGCCACTCTTTGCTCTTAAGGGAGAGAGTGTGGCTACAATGTTAACCATCCTGGTTCCCTGCCCTGCCAACTTAGAGGAGCCAGGACTACTGGGAAATCTGAGCCTCACCTGGAGCTCCCAGAAGATGCTACGCGTGTGCCGGTGGTAGTAGTGTCTCAACGGGATGTATTCCAGGCCCTCTTGGTTTGTCTTCAGATAGTTCTCCACGTGCTTGAAGAACCACGGCTTGTAGTAATTGCCAATGCTATTCAGCTGAAATGACAGAGGGCATTGTGTCAGCCCACAGACAAGCACTAAGTGCCATCAGGGTGTAACAGTGATACCCAGCTTCTGTTCAGCACTCCTGGCCTTTTCAAAGCTCTTTCATGTCTATTATCTCCTTTTTAGACTCTTGAAAGCCTGGTGAGGTTAAGCACAGTGGGTATTCTCTAACAGGGAGAGCGGAAGCTCAAAAAGGTTAAGTGGTGTGCCCAGGGCCCAACAGCTAGTTCCTGATAGTCTAGAGGACTTAGTGACCCCGACCTAGTCCCCTGCTCTTTCTCAATGAGAAAAATCAAAGCGCAAATGTTTTCTGGCATCTGCCACAACACGGTGCTCCATGCAGGTGAATTCCTCCCTCCCTCCCTTCCACTAGGCCAGTGTTGGCACAAACACGGAGCATGGGTCATCCCCTCCTCCCTGGGTCCCATGGTCAACAGCACTAATTAACCATGATACTTTCCCTGCAGCCCTAGACTAAGCCTCATTATCCTCTGAGTGTGTGCTCCCCCTAGGCAGCCACCGTCAATGGAGGAAACCCACAGAGCAAACCTACGTACTTCCTTGGCACTGGGCCTTGTGGCCCCAATGCCTAAACCTTATATTTAGCTGGTATCTTCTTCAGTCCTAAATGGTTCAGGACTTCACCTGTGCCCTGGGATGGCTTAGCTTCTCTAGGCCTCAACTTCCTCATCTGTGAGATGAATTATGAGCAGATGCTTTCAGAGAGAGGCAGGGCAGCAGCCTCAAAGGAGCACAGGCTCTAGGACTGGGCAGCTAAGGCCAAATCCTGGCCTAGTCACACACTAGCTGTGTTACTTTGGGCAGGTCATTCTATCAGCCTGTTTCTTCACATGTAAAATGGTAATAAAAATATATGCTTTGTGGGAGTTTTTCTTGGTGCCTATTAGAAATGATACATACACACACATACATACTGTGGATGCTCAGGCCTCACATCAGACCAGCTTCTCGAGGAGGTGGGAGAGGCACTGGAGTTTTATGGGGCAGATAAGATCACACCCAGCTGGGCAGGCTAAGTAAAGGATTAGGAAGAAGTGGAGAGTGGAGGCCAGAGAGGAAAAAAGTCGTCAGGGAGCCATTAGGGAGGCAAGACATGAGGCAGCCTCAGGGGAGCTGGTGGAAGGGAATAATCAGAACATGTGCCAAGTGCCCATACTCCAGGCAGTGTCGCCAGCACCTAAACATTCATTCTTTATCCCTTCCAAGACCTTGCATAGTAGGGTTGTCCGTGTTTCACGAAAGAGGTTGAGAATTATCAAGGTTATATAGACTGCCTGAGGCCACCAGGCTGGCAAAAGGCAGGGCAAGAATGTACCCCACGCTGTGCAAGGCCAGGGGCAGAAAGCAGAGAACCCTGAATGGCCGGCTCTGGAATGTGGGCATTATCAAAACAAAACAAAACAATCCTATTTTTTTCATGATTCTAAATGGAATGTACACTGTATGAAAACTTTAAACACTGCAGAAGTATATAACTTGGAGAAACACCTCTGTAGCCTCACCCTCACCCCTGTAGCCTACTAAAACTTATGTGTTCATTAGGTTTTATTTTCTGTGTACACACACACACACACACACACACATTTATAAAAACGAGGCCATTCCATGCATACTCTTGGCCAATTTGCTTTTTCCACTTATAAGGCACTAGGCTGACCCTGGGAATGTTACTTAGCCTCTCTGAGCCTCATCTTCTGTGCAGGCAAAAATGGAGACATTATTACCCCCTGGTTGGGAAGACTAAAAGATAATGCAGAAAGTGCCATGCATAAGGCCAGCCCATAATGCCTGCCCACACTGGGGGCACAATATTCAGTTTCTGGCCCCCACTGGCCTTCTAGTCCCACATCCCTTTGGCAATCCCTTCCACCCTGGAGCCAGCCAATCCTTTGAGTGGTATCTTATCTGGGTGTCACCCTCTTCTGTAGGCCACTCTGCGGGGGGAAACCAGGGGCCGCAATGTGCTAGGAAAGTGGGGTTACAGAGCCTGTTTGTCTAAGTCAGTTTCAGTGAGGTCGGTATAGGGTAGGGCAAAAGACACCATGCGCTGGCCTCTGCTTGCTGATGCAAAGGAGATTGAAACCCAATAGGAACACAGCAATCTGATCTAACCCTGGGCGGGGCCTGGCTACACACCTAGCAGTGGCACCAGCTGCATAATGAGATTGAGACTTCGGAGTATCTGGAGACAGGTGCTCCTGATGCTCACTGACTTATCAGAAACAATTCATGCCAGAGAAGCCCAGGATATGATCAAGAACCCAGATTGTCTCCCTCCCCCAGGGCACACCAGCTGGGGCAGCCAAGCAGCCACATGAGTCCCAGTTCCAGTCCTGGCATTTAGATAGCAAACTACTTCCTATCTCTGGGCCTCCCCTGTAAAATGGGGGTGGGTTGCCTCCTCTCAGGGCCACAATGAGCCTTCCACTGGACTGTGCCTGCAGAGGGCCTATCACAGAGCCTGGCACAAAGGGACAAATTCCTGAATAGCCTGCCAATCAGGAGATTTGAAAGAAATGCTCCTCAAACAAACTGTCCACACATCTAACGGCATTTATCACTCTCTGCCCCCAGTCCTGTTCCCACTGGGCATCAGGGTTTTGCTCATCGGGACATTCTGCAAAAGGCTGTGGCCTAAGAGCCCAGCCCCTCTGCCCGACACTAGATAAGCCTTTGAGTAAGGCCTCAGTTTTCTCCTTGGGACTAGGACCAGGGTGCTTAAACATTTTAAAAGATGCACAAACCCTTCTGTCCAATTGTAAGCTTAAGTGACATCTAATATATCAAACAGGTGACAGAGTAGCGGGTACAGTGGGGGAGGTGATTCCCCTTGGCCCCCTCCCTCAGCTCATTACTCCTGACAGCCTCTAAGGGAACACGTTAGAGAAGCTAGAAAACCTCTGAACCAGAGATCCTTACCAGGTGACTAAGGGACACGAGCTGCCTGGGCTCAGCCCCGGTCAGGCAGAGCTAGGGCCTTGGGAGCACCAGTGCTCCTACCCCTGGTCCAGGATCTTCATCCACTAGTGCCCACAAGGAATGGTGCTCAATCAATGCTTGCGGATGATGCTAAATTCTAGAAGATGGTATGGAGGGGAAGGGACACTGAACTAGGGGTCAGAGACCCAAATTTAAATCTGCCCATTGCTAGCTGTGTGTCCTCAGGGGAGTCTCTTTCCCCCTCTTGGCCTCATTTTCTTATTTGGAGAGGGGATTGTACTAGATAATTTTCGAGTCTCTTCCAATTTTAAAATGTTTTCAGTATATAGGTATAGATCAAGTGCCTTAAGAGAGCTTACCTTTTGATCTGCTAATTCTGCTTTAAGATGTTATTTAAATTACAAACAAAAGATGCTCATTGCTATATTAATTAAAATAATAAAAAACTAGAAATCAACTTAAATTTGCAACTATCGGGCAGTGGTTTAGTAAATGATAGGGCATTTAGTAAACATTCACTCAGTGTAACGTTCTGCAGACATTAAATATGACTGTTTTGAACGTAATATAACAACATGGAAAAATGCTTATCACACTAGACCAGAAAAAACAAATTTGAACAGGTGATCACAGCTGAAGGCAAACAAACCAAAAAACTGCAAAGAGATGTTCAGCCTCACAGGTGACCTGAAGACTGCAAAATAAAACGAGATACTATTTTTAACCCTATCAGATTGGCAAAAATGAAACAGTGATACTATCCAGTGTTGGCAAGAACGGAGGGGAAAGGCATTCATTCTCACACACCACTGCTGGAAGTAGACAGAAGCACAACTTTTCTGGAGAGCTGTTTGGTCATAGCTATTAATATTTAACATGCTCAAACACGCTCAGGGATTCCATTTTTTGGACTCAATCCTACAGAAATGCTCGTACAAGAGGCCAAGGGTAAATGCAAGAGACTATTCGTGGAAAATCTGATTTGTAAGAGCAAACCATTTAAGCAATATAAATGCTTATCAGTCAGTAATGAGTTAGGTCAATTCTTTACATGCAACAATGGGATCCAATGGAATGAAATGAGGGCATATACACATGCACACACACAAATAGGCCTTGAAGAATGCACACCAAACTGTTACAAGTCGTTGTATGCCTGGGGGTGAAAACAAATATTTTCATTGTTTTACTACTTCTGTAGTTTAAAAACTTAAAAAAAAATCTATGTACTGAAAGAGAGGAAATAACTAAACTAAACATATTAGCAACAGCTGGCTTTGGGTCACATTTATAGGTAGTCTTTTCTCTCCTTTTGTTTACACTTTCCAAGTCTCTCATAATAAAATTAATAAAAACCCTCATAAAAACTGCTATTAAATATTATACAGTAAGTTGAAGGAGTATCCATCTGGATTGTAAGACATCAAATCAAATTACTCAGATCTTGGCTTTGTCATCTTGTGGAAGTTTAATTTGACCTCTTGGAGTCTCAGTTTCCTCAGTATAAAATGAGGTAAGTTGCTGTAAGGATAAAAGATTATGCCATCAAGAGATACACACATATGTGGCAGGTGACAGAAGCAGTGGAAATGGAAGCTTTTGTCACTGCCTAAGATAATTCTGACTATAAATTCTGTTGCCCAAATCCAAGGTGAGCTGACTCAGGTTGTAGACTCAAAAAGGGTGACTATCAGGGTCAGGGTGGGGCAACAGGCTCAGACCCAGCCCGCCCAGGCCTTCTTCCTCCAGGCCTTGGTCTGCAGCAGTTGACACCCTAACCTACCTTGCTGGGCTCTGCCTTGTCCGTCATGACTCCTGTCATGATGACAGCCTCATCCAAGGAATACAGCAGCCCTTCTACGAAGTGGTTCTCCTGCCGCTGGGACTCATGTTTGAACTTGTCGCAGATCGCCTCCAGGCCCCACACTGGCTCAAAGCGCAGCTTGACGTACTTCTTGGCAGGGATGATGCGAATCTCAGCGGCAACAAGGAAGCCCAGGGTCCCACAGGACCAGGGCACAGCGTAGAACAGGTCTGAGTTTTCTGACTGCAAGGAAGAGTCAACGCATGCTGAGAGCATGAACCCTGGGTCCCACATTGTGGCACATAGTCAACAAGGGCACAAAGAACCTGGGGCCTGGGCTAAATTCCTATTCTGTCACCATCTTGCTGGGTAAACCCCACAAGGCACTTTATAAACTGGGCTTTCTGGCCCTCAGTTTTCACTCTGAAGCTTCGGCATGACATATGACCTTACAGTGCCTAGCGTCAGGGGTACTCACAGAGAACCTCCCTCCTCCATCATTGAGGCATAGCTCCTGGACCGCAGGTTACCCAGAAAGAGGCCACAACCAGCACTACCCAAAGACCCAAAACAGGGGACTAAGGGCCAGGAGTTCTAGGCCAGGCTGAACAAAGAGCTGAACTCTTACTAAGGGTTAGAGTCACCAAGGGACATTAAAATGCCTCCCTTCCAGGCATTTACAGAGCCTTTCCTACTCTATCAGCTGTAGTGCCCCTCCCCCACCACAGCCTAGGGAGAGTATTAACACTTCCACTTGAACAAGTAAAAAAATTGAGGTGCCAAGAGACAGCAGGGCTCATCCAAGGCTCCCCACAGACAGTGTGGAGATGCTGGGCCTCAGGCAAAATCACCTAAACTCCTGAGCCAGCATTGTTCTGTTGCACAGCTTCATCAGAGTCCCCAAATCTGCTTCTAATGTCACCATTTTCTTGTTTTGGTATTTGCTTCAGGGACAAACAACAGACTTTTCGCCTGGCCATTCTAATTTAGATTCTTTAATTCTAATAAAGTGCCTTTTGAAGAAGTCCAGCCTTGTGTGGTCGTCACCCTGAGGACAGCTGTGTGGTGTCTGCTTGTGTCGACTGCCATTGGTGTGGGCACGGCAGGTGCAGCAGGGAAGTGCTGAAGCCGCTGGAACAGCTGAAGTAGGCCCAACCAAGCCTCCCCCTAATCACACAGTCAGATCAGCAATAATAAGCAGGCATCTACTTTCTCCTCCTGACAAAGCATTTGTCAGATAGGAAACTTGGCCTCAGAGAACGGAAGTAATTCACTAATGTTTGTTTCTTCTCTCTGCTGGTAAAAATTGGTTGAAGGCAGGGAAATGGGCTAAAATGATGTAAAAAGGGTCCCTCTTGCCCAAGACCAGAGCTCCTAAACCAGGAGTCCTGCCCTGGACTCTTTTGTGAGGCCAACTATGGGAACTCTGAAACATCTGCTTCCAAAGCATCACACTGTCCCCGCATCCCAGGGGCTCCTCAGATATGCTTGGAGAGATCTGACTTTATTTAAAGTTTCAATCCTGTCCCGCTCCTTAGGGTAAATGCCTCAAATGTCTGTGTCCCACTTTGGGCCATAGAATTGTCTTTAATTTCTCCAAAATAGCCCCTTTTATTGCTTTAGTTACCCCTCACACCATCTGACATAGAGCTTTGATACTGAAGCCTGACTTCCCCTACAGAGGCAGTACAGTGTAATTAAAAGCTAAGGACATTGATCTAGGAGCCTGATAACTTGGATCTGAATCCCAGCTAAGTGGGATTTATTAGCTGTCTGATCTTGGTAAAGTTTATTAACCAACCTGTGCTTTAGTTTCCTGTCTATAAAATGTGGCTAATAATAATAACTAATCCTTGTTAAAGGATTAAGTCTTAATATATAAAGTATTTATAATAGTGTCTGAGCACGTAAAGGGGCTATTTTAATCTGTTAGCATGAATACAGACCTAGACTGAACAAGTGTACTTGAAACAAAGCACCTCCAGGGGAGCCACCTCCCTATCACCAGGGTCCTTGATGCCCAGAGCAAGCTGGTGGGGACGTCCTGTCTCTGAACTTACCGGTGTGCATCGCACAAAGCTGCCATCAGCCAGGACCAGCTCGTAGGCAGTGCAGATGTGTTGGAATAGGCCATATTTGTGGGACGATGACTCGATGCCTGTGCCCATGATCAAACCTCCTGCAGAAACACATGAGTTAGCCAGGTGGAGCAGTGGGGTGCAGGGTGGGGAAGAATTGAGTAAAGGGCACTTCACTGGAGCTCGGAAGCTCATAGCATAAGGGTGGTATGACAGGGCTGGCAGAAACGAGCTGCCCACTTAGGGGAGACTTCCCATCTCTGGATCTGGAGAGTAGGAGAGAGGAAGAGGGGCTCAGATTGGAGAATGAAGGCTTCCTCGAAAAGGGATGGATGGGAGACTTTGTCAATGACGCTCATACCTCTGGCCAGACCCAACCTACAAACCTATGTGCATTCGTTTTAAGAGGGACCTTAATGAAAAGGGACGTTGGTTGGGTGGCAGGAGGCTGTGTCCCATGGGAATAGTTAAAAGAACTGAAGTCGTTTCTCTTTGAGAAGAGAAGGGTTTGGGGACCATGAATCTTCCAAAGGAAAGAGAGACTAGACTTATTTTGTGTGCTCTACAGGGCAGAACTGAAGCCATGAATACAAGTCACAGGGAAGCAGATTCAAGCTAGAGATTAAAAAGTGCTGTTTGATAGCTTGAGCTGTTTAGAAATGAAACAGCCAAAAGGAAGCACTCTGTCTTTGGAGCTGGCCAAACAGAGATGGGGGGACTTCTGTTATAGACGAAATAGTGACAGCTTCTACACTGGATGGAATATGGGCCAAGGTGCCTCAGCTCTGATCCTAGGACTATCTGAGTCCTCACCCACTGTGAGGTCATCTAGCTCAGGTAACACAGGCAGCGTCCAGCCAATGGAGTTTAGCAGTGAGGTCACCTGACCCATGGTCACCAAGGGCTCCACACGGACAATCTGTTGACATAAGAAGAGAGACCTTGAGTCACAAGGAAACTTCCAGGCCTAACAGGGCATCTTTCCAAACCTTCCTAAACAATCAATGCAGAGATTCCTACCTGGCTTTTATAGCCTCTTTCTAGAACATTATACTGCCTTATGTTATAGTAAATGAGGTTTCTGGCTCTGGGTTTGTTACTGTTTAATCTTGTCCTTTTAAGTATCTTTATATGTAATACTTAGTTTATTTTTCTTCTAGATTTTAGAAGAAATATTCCTTTATTTGGAAGAAACAGCATATATGAAGATGACAAAAATCTATCCCAGTTCTTCAGAGTATCAGTATTAACACTGAAATGTATTTACTTTGTCTTTTACTAATCATATCTATATTGCAATTTTGTACGTTTTCATACAATGCACGCACACAGAAATATAAACACACACTTTCTCATCTTGTTTTTAAAATTTAACACAATACTACAATCATTGTCCTTTGTTATTAAATATTCTTGGAAAACATAATTTTTAATGGACACATTAACATGCCATCATGAGGACTTCTGCTTCCAGCTAAGATGCAGCAACAAGGACCAGATTTACCCTGCTGCCTGAAAACAAAGAAGAGACAAAATACATAAAACAAGAGTTTTCAACATAGTGGACATCAGGCAATGAAGTCTTGAAAGACAGGAAATCAAACAAGGGGAGCTCTGTGAATGCCCCAGCTAAGTGCCTAGAGTTAGGCAGTGCAGGGAGGGGAAACTCAGCGGGGCCCAGTGGACTCTTAGTTGAGAGCCCCGGAAGATCGAGGTGAATAGAATTTAGAAGACAGAGTACTGGAGAAGAAACTGTACATAGAGAAAACTCTGAGGAACTGCAAAGGGTACCCATTGAATATTCAGCTGAGTACGGATCAGTGCATACACATGAAGAAATTACTTTTCTGAGGGGAAATGCCACCAGAAAGGATAACAGGTAACAGTGCAGGGGCTCACACAGGGTAGGGATAGTATCTGTTCCCAAAAGCCAGACTGGAAAAATCTCATGTTTTGCAGTGCATTGGGTAGAGTAAACAGAATGGTCTCACCTCACAGTGGGGAATAACTACCCCTACATTAAATGTTCCTCTGTTGCCACCTAAAAGATCAAGACCCAACAGGATCAAATTGTTTCCCAGTAACTTAGCTATATCTCAGAGCAGAGCTCAATAAGATTTCTAAAAATACAAAAATATCCAGCACCCAACAAGGTAAAATTCATAGTGTCTAAAATCCAATCAAAGTTTACTAGTCATGCAAAGAGTGAGGCAAATTCCATCCACAATGAGGAGAAAAATCAATCCGTTTTAATAAAAATGTATCCAGATTTGACACAGATATTAAAATTTGCAGGCAAGGGCATTAAAATAGTTATTATTGCTGTATTCCTTATTTTCAGAAAGTTAAGTAGAGACATTAAAAAGATAGTAAAAACACCCGTATCAAACTTCTAGAAATAAAAACAACAATGTCTGAGATGAAAAATACACTGGCTGAGATTGATAGCAAATCAGACATTGCTGAAGAAAAAAGCAGTGAACTTAATACAGAGCAGTAGAAACTATTCAAAATGAAACACAGAAGAAAAAATTAAAACGAACAGTGTATCACTCAGTGAAACAACTTCAATACTGAAGGCAGTCCTCAAAGAAGAGGGTAGTGGACAGAAAAAATATTTAAAGAAATAAAGATCCCCAAATTTCTAAATTAGATGAAAATTATAATAAATCCCAAGCCAAGAACAATGAAGAAAATTATACCAAAGTACATCACAATAAAATTGCTCAAAACTAATGATAAAGAGAAATTCTGAAAAACAGCCAGAGAGAAAAAAAGACATGTTACATACAGAGGAATGAAGATAAGAATAATAGATTTCTTGTTGGAAACAGTGCAAGATGACAGTAAGACATCTTTAAAGTGCTGAGTGAAAAAACTGCCAACCTGGAATTTCATACCTAGTGAAAATACCTGTCAAAAATGAAGGCAATTCACATCCATTAGGATGGATACTATCAAAAAACAAAAACAAAAACAAAAAAACCCAGAAAAAAACAAGTGTTGGTGAGGATGTGGAGAAATTGAGAACTTTGCACACTGTTGATAGGACTGTAAAATGGTACAGTCACTATGGAAAACAGTATGGCAGCTCTCCCCGCCGCCCCACCCCCCCCAAAAAAAAATTAAGCACAGAATTACCATATAACTCAGCAATTCCACTTTTGGGTACACATCCAAAAGAATTGTAAGCAGGGTCTTGAAAATATATCTGTACCCCCATGCTCATAGCACTATTATTCACAATAGCTAACATGTGGAGGCAACCAAGTATCCATGCATAGAAGAATGAATAGGCAAAATGTGATATATACATACAATGGAATATTATTCAGCCTTAAAGGCAAATACTGTATGATTCCACTTTTATGAGATATTTAGAGAAGTCAAAAATCAGACAGAAATTTTAATAGTCATTTGCTAGGTCTTGGGAGGGAGGGGGAATGAGGAGTTATTGTTTTAAAGTATAGAGTTTCAGTTTTGCAAGATGAAAAGAGTTATGGAGATAGATGGTGGAGATGGCTGCATAATTTTATGAACATATTTAATACCACTGAACTGTACACTTAAAAATAGTTAAGATTGTAAATTTTGTGTTATGCATACTTTACAATAAAAGCTGAAAAAGAAATGAAGGCAAAATAAGTGTTTTCAGACATATGGCAGCTAAAAGATTCATCACCAGCAAAATTACCATACAAAATGTTAAAAGAGATCCTTCTGGCAGAAGGAAAATGAAACCAGATGGAAATATGAATCCACACAATGAAATGAAGAAATGGCAACTATATGGGTAAGTATATAAAATTTTTCTTATTATTTAAGTTTCTTAAAAAGATAACTATTAAAAAACAGTAATGTGGTATGGGCTTTATAACATAAATAACAGTATAACAATATCACAGAGGTTGGGAGGAGAGAAATAGAAGTGTATAACTATAAGATTTTTCTTATACTACAGATAAAATAAGACATCATTTGAAGGTAAACTGTGATAAGTAAAGTGTATACTATAAATCCTAAAACAACTGCCAAAATAACAAAACAAAATTACAGTTAAAAAGCCAACAAGAGAGCTAAAATAGGATCATAAAAATTATTTAGTAATTCAAAAGAAAAAAAAGAAGGGAACAAAAAACAAATGGGACAAAGAGAAAACAAAGAACAAGGTGACAGAGTTAAGCCAAACCTTATCAATAATAACATTAAATGTAAATGGTCTTACCATCTCAATTAAAAGGCAGAGATCATCAGATTGGATAAAAACTATATGCTGCTTATAAAAAAACACATTTTTAATATTTAAAAAAACAGATTAAAAGTGAAAGGATGGAAAAAGATACACCATGCTATAAGTAAAAAAAAAAAAAAAAAGACGTAGATGATAGAGGCTCTGTTCATCCCTCTGGGGACTAAATCAAAGTTGTGACAGAAACAAGGAGCAGCAGCAAGGAAAAATCGCCTGGGATTTAGATGAACAAGCCATACAACTACAGAGAAATCCAAGAAAGTACCATTCAACGGCAGAAGGTAGGACGGGGCAATAACACGGGACTGCCCAGGCTGATCCGCTGAGTGAGACCGAGGTTGTGGCAGAGGCAGATGCCTCTTAAAAGGGCGGATTTTCGCGGTGACGGACCTGCTTGCTCTGAGCACCAGTGCCAATTCGGCTGTGCGCAGGGGGCACCAGGGGCTTATAGGAGACATTGTCGGAGTGAGGGCCGAGGGTACAGAAGTGCCGGGGGTATCCGTTGTTCCCTATTGAGCTCTCCCCACTACCAGTGCACCGGACACAGTGCCTCCATAGCTGAGACATCATCAAACTGAATAACAAAGGTCGCTCCGCCCAGAGGATTCTCTGAAACCCCGCCTACCCCAGCTCGAGCCCCGCCCAAGTCACATCCAGGTATATCCTCCATGAGTCAGGTGCTCCTTGCTGAGACTCACACTGGTGGAGGCAGCTGGCCTTGGTTTCTCGTGTGGCCTTATGAGGCAACTATAAGCACAGCATCTGTGAACTGCTTGCTAAATCTTAACAGATGGCCCCAGAGGGATAGAGGCTTGGGCTAAATTTGGCCTGCAGCTGAACTCCTCTTAGGACTGTGCCACTGGACACCTACTTCACAAGTCCACACTAATAAGACCGGGAGATTTAGGAGCTTTGCTTAGTACATAGAAACAGACATGGAAAGGCGGCCAATGGGAAGACAAAGAAGCAGAAACCATATGACAGAACAGAACAGAGATCCAGATATAATGGAGTCAAGTAATCTAACAGGTGCAGAGTTCAAAATACTAGTTATAAAGATGCTCAATGAACTTTGGAAAAGTGTAGAGAACTTTAACAAAGAGATAAAAATGGAAATGGAAATTATAAAAGGGAACCAGTATGAAATGGAACAAATAAACAAAGTGAATAAAGAAGACGATCAAATGCCCTATCTAGAGGACAGGAAGGCCAATCAGGACACTCAATCAGAATGGCAAGGAAAAAAGATGCCAAGACTATAAAAATAATTTAAGGAGGATATGGGACACTATTAAGGCTCCAAATATTTGTCTGATCAGTGAAACTGAAGAAAATCAAGATGCTGAACAGCTATTTAAAGAAATAACAATGGAAAACTTCCCTAACCTGTTGAAGGAAATGGACATAAAACCCCAAGAAGCTCGGAGAATTCCAAAAATCAGGGATCCAAAGAGGCCCATGCCAAGACACGTCATAATTAAAATGCCAAAGTTTAAATACGAAGAAATAATATTAAAAGCAGGAAGAAAAAAACAAATAATTACATATAAAAGAACACCCATACCACTGGCAGCTGATTTCTCAAAAGAAACTATGCAGGACAGAGGGGTTTGGCAAAAAATATTCGACAGGATGAAGACCCAGGATCTACAACCAAGAATAATTTATCCAGCAAAACTATCATTTAGAGTTGAAGGACAGATAAAGAACTTCCCAGACGAAAAATAAACGAAAGGAATTTATCATCACCAAGCCAGAATTACAGGAAATGTCGAAGGGACTTCTTTAAGAAAAAACATGTATCAAAAACAGGAATAAAGAAATAAAGAATTCCTATTAATAAGTACCTTAAATGGACAAGAACTAAGCGCTCTAACCAAAAGATAAGAGTGGCCGAAAGGATAAGAAAACAAGACCCCTGCATATGAAAAGGAAGGGAATGGAAAAAGATATTGCTTTGATGAACCTAGAAGATATTTAAGTCAGACAGAGAAAAATAAACACTATATGATTTCACTTATATGCGGAATTTAAGGAGTAAAAAGAACAAACTAATCAAAAACAGACTGACAAATACAGTAGACAATTTGTTGACAGACAGAGGGGGTGTTTTGAGGGGACTGGGAGAATAGGATGAAGGGTTAAAGAAGTATAAATTAGAAGGTGATAGATGGTTACAGGGATGGGGAGCACGGCATAGGGAATGCAATTAGCATTAATACATTGGCTAGGTGGAGGGTCAGGGAAGGGAGGGAGCAATTGGAAGGATCACTTTACAACTATATAGATGTCTAACCAATGTACTGTATACTTGAAACTAATTACAATTTTTAAAAAAATTTTAAAAATGTAAACGGATTAAATGTTCCAATCAAAAGACAAATGGATAAAGAATATGTGGCACCAAAAAAAAAAAAAGCTAGAATGACTTTATTATATCAGACAAAGTAGATTTCAGAGCAAAGAATATAACTAGAATGAAAGAGGTCATTTCATAATTATAAAGGATCAATTAATCAAGGGGATGTAAAGTTACTAAACGTTTACATACCTAATTACAGAGCTTCAAAACAAATGAAGCAAATACTGATGGAACCACAAGAGATATAAACAAATCCACAATCATAGGTAAATATTCAATAGCCTTCCTTCAGTAATTGATAGAATAAGTAGAGAGAATATTTGTAAGGATATAGAAGACTTGAACAACACTATAAATCAACATGACCTAATTAACATTTATACTACACACCAGCCCCAAATGGCAGAACACACATTTAAAAAAATGTACATGGAACATTTATCAAGATAGATCATATTCTTCTGGGCCATAAGATAAGTCTCAATAAACTGAAAAACATTCTGATCATACAAAGTATATTTTCTGACAATTGAATTAAATTACAAATCAGTAACAAAGATCTCTGGAAAATTCCCAAATATTTGGAAACAGAATAAAATAAATAACCCATGGGTCAAAACAGGTGTCAAAAAGGAAACCAGACTGCTTCTCAGCCTTTCGGCCAAGATCAAATTGTAAAAAGGAAATTGGAAAGTATTTTGAACTGAATGAAAATGAAAAGATAACCTATCAAAATTTGTGGAATGGCTCAAGGGAGAAATTTATAGCGTTAAACATCTATGTAAAATGCTACAAGCACATTGAAAGACAAGCTGGCAGTCTCTTAAAAAGTTAACCAAACACCTATCAAATGAGTCAGTGATTCCTTTCCTGGGTATTTTACCCAAGAGACAGGAAAGCATGTATCTACACAAGACATGTCTATAAATGTTCCTAGTGATTTTATTTGTGATAGCCCAAAGCTGGAAATAACTCAAATATCCTATGATAAGTGAAAGGATAAACAAACTGTGATATACTCATACAATGGAATACCACTCAGCAATAAAACATAATGTACTTCTGATACATACTTCGATATGGATTTCTCTCGAAATAATTACAGAGTGAAAGAAGCCAGACAAAACAAGAGTACATAACGCATGATTCCATTCATATAAAACTCTAAAATACAAACTAATGTATAATGACAAAAAGCTGGTCACTATAGGGATGTGGGGTAAGAGGCAGGGAAGGCCCTGAGGAATGGATTACCAAGGGGCAAGAGGGAACCTTTGAGGTGATGTGTATGTTCATTGTCTTGATTGTAATGGTCTCACAGGTGTACACATATCTCAAAATTTATTATCAAATTGTACACTGTATGTGCAGATTATTATACATTAAGTCTATATCAGTAAAGCCGAGGGGACAAAAAAAGGCACAGGTGATTAAGTAAACTGGCCAAGGTCTCACAACAAAATGCCATCATGTGGATATATCATATCTAACAACTCTCTACTATTGAATATTGTGTTGTCTTCGATTAGAAATAAAGCTGTGATTTAAAGAGAGAAAGGAAGAAAAAAAGCTGTCATACAATCTCTCTCTGTATTGTCTATGATTTAAGCTTATTTCCTGTTTCCTTAAGCCAGGTTTTAAGAACCAGAATTATTCGATAGGCCAAAGAGCATGCACATGTCTATGGCTATTAACAAGTGGGTCCTCAGGAAGCTTGCAACAAGGCCCTCTGTTTACCAGTACACCTCCTTACCAAAAAGGGGTAAGTAGGTTCCCTTTTGTATCTCTTTTTTCTCAAGCAGAAATGATCACTTCATGCATTTCACTGATAGTCTACGTTTTAAATCTGCAATATGATACCTTACATAGGGAAAAAGCTTCTTCCAAAAAGGTAACTATTAATAATCAAACCAGCTTTAATATGACTGACCATTCAAGGTCTTGTTTTGCATGAAATAAGTTAATTTTAGCAGGTGTAAAGCACTGTGTGAAAAAAAAAAAGAAAACTGGGTACATTCTCAACATTTAACATAGGGCTTCCCTACTAGGAGTCTGTAGGATATTGGAGAAGGGTATTACGTTCGGGTTTAAATTTAAAGAAAATGAAAAACTAATTCACTTCACTTTGTGTTCCTTTCTGCATTTTTGGAAGTCCCTGAGAGATCAGAAAGCCTCCTGTCTCATTTCCCCCCATGATTTCCCCATCCCTGTCTTCCTGTGGAACTGCAGATAATCAAAGAATCCCCCTGAACTCTCAATTTGCACTATGAGATAGAGTTATAACCAATCTCTTCCAAAGCTGAGGCTTTGAAGAATGGCAATGACCAGGGATCTTAGTCTTGTCTACCCTCAAATGCCCTTGCCTAAAATCATGTCCTTCCAAGCCACTTGCACCAGGGGCAGTCCTGCTCATTCCCAGAGCCAGGGAACCACGCCACACTCACCTGTTTCTTGGTGTCCACCTCCAGAATATCCATCAGGTTGATCATGATGTTTTTGTGTGTCTTCTTGTACTTCCCAACCCGGAGCGAGATGGTGAGCCAGCCGGGGCGCCCTGTGCACATGAAGGTCTTGCTGCCTTGCTCCTTCCATTCTCGTACCTGCAACCACGGGACAGAGGCTGAGCTAGCCTTACCAGGATCCCCAGAGCAGCTCGAAGCCTTGTTTTCAGGAGAAGGAGCTCAAAAAGATGCCCAGGCATTTTGTCAGCAAACATTTACTGAGCCCTTACATTCTTCTAGGCACTGCAAGGCCCACTGGCCTTACCCTCTGGAATCTCCCCGGCTAGTGTGGCAGGCAAAAAGCCAAAGTGTTGCCACACTACAAAGCAGAATGAAGAATGATCATAGTACTTTGAAAACACTAACTGGGAAATTCAGGAAAGGTTTTGTAATGGTAATAATAGCAACCATACAAATAAGATGGTTACTAGGTGCCCCCATTGTGTCAGGCACCTATTGTACACCATCTCATTTAATTCTCACAATCACCCCAAGAAGTTGGGATGATCCCCTTCTGCAGGTGAGAAAACTAGTAGGCGAAATAACTTGCCCAAGGTCACACAATCAGTGAAGGGCAGAGCTCAGATTCACAGCCAAGACCATCCGACTTCTGGAAGGACAGATGGGCTTGTATTAACAGTCAATAGAATAACAGCTAACGTGTAGTGAGGTCTGTTACATGCCAAGTCCTGTCCTGAGCATTTGCATGTGTTAACTCATGATCACTTGGAAGGAGAGAGAAATGGCAGGGAAGGACCACCAAGCCAATGGAAGGAAGAGCTTTTGCAAAACCTCTACTGTTAAGTGACCAGAGTACAAAACACAAAGAACAAATGGCCCATGAGCCAAAAGCCCATCAGGAACACGGGAGGAA